GAAAAAAAATACATTTCAAATACAGTGTCATTGTATCTTGAAATATTTCATGCTTAGAAACGTCACCTGACCTAACAGTGAATCAGGTGTCAAAAACACCACCTCACCGACTGCTGTGACATTAAGCACAACCTCTGAATGGCTCAACAGAGAATCAAACTGGTTTTTCCGTACGCCATCGCATGGTTTACCAATACACTGGCATCTTTGCTCTTTTGCTGTGAGCCGACAGTAATTATTTTAGAGAAAGAAAAAGAAAGTGTGGAATTAGTAACGCAGATGCTGAAAGGCAAGTGGCAAGACTCTACAAGAAGAATGCCTCAAAAAAAACCACGCTATTTTGTTCCCATTTCTACTGGCACCTATTCCCCAAGGTAACAGGCCAGAATGACCAAAGCCATCCTAATAGTAGTGTGCAGAATGTCAGCCGACAAACAACATAAAAACAAGTCACGTTGTGTTATCTGTGGTCACGTTCTTCAGGGTTAGTCCAGTAACTCAAGACTACATTCTTCCGTCTTTATTTGCTTGTTTTAATTAAACATGTAATGGTTAATAAACAGACATAGTCCAGAGTTAGTAGGTTGGTATTATAACATTTATTAAAATAATGCTATGGGTTAATAGAAACAGCAAAGAACCAAAGAATTAAAATGCAAGCTATGTAAAAACCCAACTAAAACCCAAATATGTCTAATGTATTCATCCAGTAGCTAACTAAAAGCCCAAGAAAGACAACACTCCCAATATAATAAAGTACTGCAAAACAATTGGCAATTTTTCAGTTATCAAAATTGTGGGTTTTGCTTTTTTGTATGCTTTTTTTTTTCTCAATCAGGAAAAAAATTCTTTTGAATGTTATATAACATACATATAAAACAAGATAGAAAAATACATTATAAACTTGTAACAATGGCTGTAAATACATTATCTTACATGTTTCTCATAGGCAATAGGTTGGTTATGGTACATACATAGCATGAAACTACTAAGATAATAAAGAATAGACAAATACATGTCATCTGTACGGTTACATACAAGCGACACTCCCATCTACCCACTCTAAAAAAATTACATAATACTGTCAGAAAGAAGTCTTAAAACTACTTATTTTAATAAAGAAAAAGTCATTAAAGAATGATAATACTGAGAACCAAGGCATTCAGAGATTTCAAAAGTCATGCTTTTTTTTTTTTAAGTTGATCCAAAATTTTGTCAACTAAGTTTTCAGAAGTTTGTTCAGAGCAAACATTACTTTCACATGTCACACATCTATTTCATACACTTCCCTCCCCCCCATAAAAGACCTTTGATAACATCTAAAAATGTCCAGGTTTTATCATAGTTGAGATGAAACTGGATCAAATACTGGTATCGTTTTTAGCAAATCTCTCCTCAAATGTTTGAGTGTCGCAAGTCTATTAAACCAACCAACCAAAAATAAAATTCAAAATGGCACAGCATATACTGTAAGTAAAACCAACACAACTGTATGTGTAACAGGAAGACAAAGCCGGTGGCACAATAAACAAAAAGCTAGCTGAATATGAAAGGATGAATGTCTATTGCATAGTAAATAAACTGATAATTATTTCCAGGTGAGACAAGATGTTAGATGAGGTCACCATGCAGGTGCTTAAAATGTAAGCCCTCTTAGCTTACTGTTGACCTTTCATTTGGAAGCTGTGAAGATATGCAGGAGGAGAATAAGTTGACAAGAAGGGGAATAAAAGTATCACCTGATATTTGCCAAGTTTAGTAGAGCCCCACACAAACTAATACTTCATGTTTTTAGAATTAAGCACTGTGCGTTCAACAGCTTCAACTCTCGCAACTACCCATCTGTCTGAAGGCCATGTGGAAACAAAGGTTAAAAGCTTCGCACAGCTGGACTTCAATCACCTGATGTGCCTCTCCTGCTTAGGAAATTATGAAAAAAAAGGAAGGCAGGCCTAACGTTAATCAAACAGGAGCTGGCTGAAAAGCAAGTGACCTGCAAACTGCCTGACGCTGCAGGAGCCACTTATGAAAACTGGGGCCATGCTCAGACTGGAACTGAAAACCAGTTAAGTGCCTTCAGTTTCATTATCCGCAGGACATTATTTTTACGGGTGACTCCGAAGCCCACTATCCTTGATGTATAACGATTCCAACCAAAGGCAAGAAAATTCCCCTCCATCCCTGAACAACAATGAAATCCGTCCCCATCTCTACAAACGTTTCCCAGCTAATACTCCGTTCTCGAATGAGAGCGTCTGTATCACAGAACCCTTTGGTTTACGTTGCACGAGCACTGTATTAGCYGGGGCGTTAAAGCAGAATCGCTGACACAACGATGGGCTGGTTTGACACAGTTCAGAAAATGTTTCACATAATGAGATTTTGGCAAAGTCACGTCACACTAATATGGCAAAAATCAGGTAATCAATATGGTCAACTCATCATTTGTCTTTCCTCACAGCTTCTTTTCACATACTGGGCGACTGAGTGGCATGCAGTAACTTGTCTGAGGGAGAAGCTGATTATACAAGACATTTGACTAAATGACCATGAAGAAAATAAGGCACTTCCTTTTCTTTAGACTTATTCCAATACTTAAAAAATAAAAAAAGAAAGACTAAAAGGCTCTTTTGGTCTTTTGTTTCTTGACAACCACCAGAAAAAATCATTTAATGAAATAAAGGGTTTCTTTGTTCTTTTTTTCTTTTTTTATAACACTTGAAAGTATAAAATGCTACATTTCCAAAAATATATTTTTTTTCTGCACCAGCACCCTTGTTTAGTAAAAGTATCTACTTTTTTGTTCATTTTGTTTCAATGCACTACACTTTATCTACAATTTCATTACATGTATACAGCAAATAGGCAAGCATGGCTTTTACATCCTTAATGAAATTTTTCTATACAGGGAGGTTTAAAAAAAATATTTGAACAGTTTGCCCAGTAATGTGACACATAATGCATGTACCTTGTTCTCATGTAATCTTCCGAGGAGATTAAAGTATGGTTAAAATAATTTAAACGCAGATTTTGCTTCAATAGTGTTGCTGTTTTGTTCTCAACATCAACATAGTTCTGAAAAAGTCATCGCAATCTGTATTTCATGGCACACTCTCTTTTAAAACATCCAATTTGGCAGGCGATAGAAAAAAAAGGCTGCAACTTCCGCCCTTTGAGGGCACTGGTAGTGACTAAAGAGCTTATCAAATTTTGAATACTTTTTGGAATCCCTTCACCAATGACATCCCTGACCAAAGGTTCATGCATGATGCATCATCACACAGTACATTCAGAGAGAGCTTTGACTTCGTTTTGAGAAGAAAAGTATTCCTAGAAGTCTCTCACAGTAACTGCCTCTGTCATCGGGTGGCTAAGGGACATCTGTCTCCGTCTCTCGCGAGGCCTTCTCACCGTTCGCTTGGGCTGGGACACTAGAGGATGCTCAGTGCTGAGGGACGCATTGGACCTTATTGCTTTACTACTATTCAGTGCAGGTTCTAGAACCACTTTCACCCAGACAGGAGGGAAAAAAAAGCGGAGTTGGAGGACAACAATTTCTTTGTCTTTTTGTTAGATGGTAAGACGAACGGACAAGTGCCCCAGCTCGCTGCACTGAAGACAGGCAAGCAAAGGCGTTTACCAGTTAACTGATCAGCAGGCAGGCATGGTCAGGTCATCATTGGGTGAAGAGTTCAGAGGTCAGAAGGTCATAGGTTAGTTGCCGGTGGCGGCTGGGTGGTTAGAAACAAAAAAAAAAACAAAACAAAAAAAAGAAAGAAAAGATAGAGAAGAGATTAGTTCCAGCTAGTGACGGCTTAATGACAACATGAAAACTAATCACAACTAATAAAAAACAGGCATGTTTAATTCTGACATACTGATCGACACCATCTACGGAATGCAATAAAATCATGACAGCCCTCTATCATGATTTGAACATGTGAAGGAGAAGCCCACTCCCACAAAACCGGTTAACAGGAGAAATAGAGATAAAATACGACTAACGACTAATGGTTAGTAGCAGTCGATGAAGGAAATCGGAAAACAAAAACGATGAACAGTTTTGGAACTCAGTAAAAAAAAGATTTTTGGAGACAACAGTCAGTGCACGGCATCAGTATCTGACTGCTATTAAGCATTAGTACTTCCCCAGGTGCAAGCATTAAAGCAACTATTAATGATGGATGTGATTATTAATAACTGGTTGTTAAGAGAAATGATCCTAAGGAATTCTCCACTGGCAGAGACAATTTGGTTCAACAAACTAGGGGCCAAACGAGTTGGGTTTTGTTCAATAAACTTTTTATTGCCTTTCATTTATTCTATTTACAAACAACATGGAATTTCTTGGCCTCATGATACAAAGCAATACTAAACTGTAGTCTAGCAGTGTAGGCATCATCATGGGAACCAGGAAAACGCTGGAGCCTACTACTCGAGCCAGCGTTTCCCTGTTCAAAATACTATTTTACACGTATAGGACACTTATAAAATGCACTTGCATGTAAACACTGTAAAAGTCCTGCCATTTTAAATTCTATACTTAAAAAGCTCTAAGTACATCAAAAAATAGAGAAAATATCTAATTGATACTAATAAGGCATTTTAAAACTACAAACAGCTCTCTTTATTCATTTTCAAAGCTAATACTCTGCAAATACAATAAAATCTGACATTTCATATACATTCCTGCTTTATATTTTTATATTTTAAAAGAAGCCACCTGTAAATACTATTTTCTTTTGCAAAAACAAAACAAAACAAAAAAAAAACAAAAAACAAAAAACAAAACCACAAACAAATTACAGTAAAACATAAAAAAAGTTCTCAAGTGGAAAGTTATCATTCCCAATGTTCTTGAGCTGTTCCTTCTTTAATCATTCTCTCACATTCTCCTTCACCAAACTTGGTCCACTTAACAGTAGTATTTTTTTTTTTTTTTAAGACTCATTCAACAGCTTAATTATAGCTAATAAATTCTGAGGTTGATAAAGTTCTTGTACTGTTGCCATTTTGACTAAGGCAGAGGAGATGAAAGTGAGAAAGGTATTCAGTGCAAAGTCAGGTTTGTGCCATTTCATAAAATGAAGTCCAGTAGCTWAAATATTCACAGATTGATTTAGCAATCTTTCATGTGGGTCCATTTATTTTCACACAACAACACTGGCCTATCATTTAGGATACAGTTTATAAACACTTAAAAAAAAAAAAGGAAAATCACTACTGTAGCCTAAATGAGACCACATGTTCCCTGAATTTCTCCAAACTTGTGCTAAGGTGGGACTTAAGTTAAAACCGCTGTTTCAAAAATAAGCAAAAATAAAAATAAATATTTCTTGTGGCACAATCTCACCACTTTACAGGTATACTAGAAACAAAGACTCTTAAAGCATTTTGATAGTGATTATAATTTTGATTAAATGGTATTAAATCTTTTATATAAATTATGTGACAGTTGGTTTTGATAAAACATTCAAGAAAATCCTCAGCATTAATATTTCTTGTGGAGTTTATAATCAAAGCAAGCTACCTTTTAAAAATACCAGTACACCTGTGATACATCCTCTGCCAAGTCCCTGGCCTTCTACAGTACACACAGGTTTGTCAACTGTGCAACACCATTTACAGTTTATTACAAGTAAATCAGTCAGTCTCTCTGTTATAGGAATCAGATTCAATTTTGTATTATTTATAAACTGGGGTTTTATCCTTAGTTAAAATGAGCTATACTTGTCAGCCCTTCACCAATTCTAAATGCTTAGCTGTAAGAGTAAAACATTTACACATTTGGGGATCCTTGCGTAAAATGCAGTGCTTATCTCAAAAAAAAAAAAAAAAAAACTATGCAAAGAATAAAAACCTACACAAAAAGTGAATGCAGTAGTACTACAAAGTCATCTGAAAGTTGACTTAGCTTTTTTTTTTTTTTTTTTAAACTTTAGACCCAATGAATGCATATATGTATTTTTATGACGTATTAACTATTTTTTAAAAAAATCCTTTTCCACATTGAAAAAAATAGTTTTTCGGTTTGCTGACATTGCTTTCATGGATATAAATTTAGAAATATAATTGACCGAATAACTCAATAAGTGAATATGGTAAATATTGATAGCATTTTAATTCYAGAACAAAATTTTAACACATAAAAAAAATCTATTTTAACGCTGAACAATATTATCTTTAAAACCTTTTATAAAACTGTTAAATATGTGCAGTGATAATCTAGGTTTTCAAAATTCAAAATAGAATGAAATAAATCTTAAAATTAACTCTGTGCAAGTTTCTTAATACACTCTGGTATAATTTAGATGATACTTTAAAATAATGTTCATCTGAACTAACCGGCACGGTTTTCATGCAAAGATCGAGTGGAATTTGTAACTCATTCCATAGGAAATAACCTAYGTGCACCTTTGCTTTTTTTAAATACAGTGGTCTTCTAATATCACTAAATAYAAACACTGCATCATCAGAAAATGGGGATGTTTTAAAAGGAGGTGAAATGGGACCCAGAATTATTTTCAGTGACTTGTAAAGTGACAGCCCCAGATGAAACATCTAGGCCCTTCATAAAAAGAAATAAAATATGGGTTTAGTAAGTAAACATCACAATGATGAAATGAAACAACATAGAAGAAAACCCCTGTGCTTCCTCATAGAATTTACTAGACTCGGGCAAATATCTAACTAAGCCAATAGGTGTTATAGGTGTTTTTCCCTGCCCTCTGAAGCCTATCCACCGGCAGATCAAGAAAGAACATTTGCAAAAAGTGAATTTGGAAGCATGAGTTCAAACTTCTAAAGACAGGCAAATCCTTAATGTCCATTGCTGTTGACAGTTTTTTTTTTTTTTTTTTTTTTTTTTTTTTAGGATGGGCTGGATGTCTTGGTTTGTACTTCTGACATTATGGGCTGTAGTGTCTGCACATCAGCTTTACATAGGAATGAGATCCTTACATATGAAGGGTAAAAAAGTGTTATATGAATACTACTCCGGGAGGGCCTTTTTTATTCTACTGACTAAAACCTGTACTGCTCATCTTAGCTGATTTACAGAAGGCTGGCACTAGCGAAGTGTAGTCTAGTTCAGCGATGTCAGATGTGTCACCTGAATGTGTTTCTTGACTATTACAATATCATGGAAGCCTGCACAAWCCTGGGTTTGATGAGAGCAGAATAATAATACTTGGCACTTACATAATGCTTTGCATCCTCAAAGCCCTGTACAAACAAGAACCCCCACAACACCCCTGTGAGGTAGGGAAGTATTATTATCCTTACTTTACAGATGGGAAAACATACACAGAGAGATTAAATGCCTTGCCAAAACCCACACAGAGTCAAGAGCAGAGCTGGGGTAAGAATTCAGGAGTTCCTGTGCTTAGCCCCCACTGCTTCCTAGCCAATGTCAATAAACCGAAAATATTAGTTTTCTGAATAAGCTTAAATACTTCATTCAGGGGTCCAAAGACATTACATTTGAGGAACAGGAGAAAAATGAAGATTTAGTTTCCATTCAATAGCTAGAGAGAGATGCCCATATAAATGAAGTCATCTCACCGAGAGGACTTCAAAAGTTGCTTCTCCTTCAGGTTACACATTTTAGCAGCAAAAGACAAATACCAAGAAACCCATTTTGGCAAAAAACCAAAACACCCTTTACTCCTGCCCTTATGAGTTCAAGCTCAAACAACTTTTGAAGTATTATCTTCACAGCCCTTACCTTTCTGAATTCAGTTAGGTATCTGAGAACATGCATCCTCCTCAAAATATACAGTACAGTGGCTCAAAAGTTTACTGGAAAAAAGGAAAATCTAAATCTTCAGATTTCTCCAGACACAGACAGGAGGCATCTATTCCTTTACTTCTTTCTCATTAAACAACCACCCATTCGCTTTATTTTGCAACACCAATCTGATATTTCCACATCATTAAAAGAACAAATTTTTTGAGGGATAGGGAAGGGAAGGGGGAATCAAATTAACTATTGCAGTACTGAATTCAGTGTTTTCCTGAAGCAGACAGATCTTTAAATAGTTTTTAAGAGGGAYTGGTTATAGCATTTATATTAAATATATCACAAAGTTTACATAATTCATTTAGCCGGGAAAGCKACGTTTACGAAGTGTTTTTAAAAATGCAAGCGTTCCCCAAGCTCTAAATCATTAACTTTTTTTTCTGAGGAAAACAAAAAATAATGTCTGGGTCAGATATGGTATTTGGTTAACCAGCTGTGGTGTTGCAAATCTCATGTACACTCAAAGCATTTCTTACAAACAAGAACTGCAGAACTAAACTAACCTCGGTCTGCGGTCACAATCCTTTGGTAAGGATGGACACGCATATCGTGCCTTCGAACTTTAGTAGCCACCGCACCTAGTTAAATTGCAATTACCAAGACAAAGTTAGAAAACATTCAAAGAAAACATTAACAGCAGGTTTATCAAAATGGATTTAAATGATCATTAACTACAAAAGTTCATTTTAAGAAAAGCAACAAGTTAAGGCACAGTAGTTTCAAATCTTAACCTTAAAAAGAAGTTTGTCTGTGCAGATTAATATTGCATTTATTTTAAACATCCTGGCCTTAACCTGTTTAATCCATTCATTTACAATCCCAAAATTACAGTATTTCATGAAATCTATTAGACCCAAGCACATTTAAGCTTTACTAGTCACATATTCACTGAAGTGCCTTTCTTGCAGCAGGACTATTTTAAATAATGCCATTTTTTAATACTGACAATTATTTCCTAACCTTAAGATCACTTCCAGTTCTACGACAAATAAAGTTTTAAAGCAATTCTTCAAGCCTACAGATTGTGATTTTAAATTTTAAGTCAATAAGTATGAACTGCAATGAATTAGGTGATTAGTAAAGCAAACACTATATAAAACACTTAGCAGTCAGTATACTACTATACACTCATAAATTACAGCTACTCTGTAATAACAGGGGCTAATCCAAATTAATAGCACTATCTTATTTTATATCTATGTGCAAAAAAAGTGCAAGTGAGTCACTGACTGCTAGGCCAAGCTTTTTTCAAGGCTGCTGAAACTAAGCATTTGTTAAAATTCAGATCTGATGAAGGATCGGTTAAGACCGTTCTTGAATTCTTAGCCTTTCGTTGGGAAAGCCATACCTAAAGATAAAAGGAAGGGAATTGAAAGTTAGTCACCAACTAAAATCTGCTCCCAACACCAATATCCCCAAAATTACTAGTAGGGACGCAGTACTCTTATTTTTCATGGAATTAATTTAAGACATTGTAATAGTCCACTGCAAAGTAGACAGACCTAAGAATATTATTAATGACAATGGGTACATTACAAATTTAAACTCATTTAATTAACTGAACACAATTGCTCACATAATAGAGCAGTTGTATTAGAATAAATATTTCTGCTCCACCTAAGTGGTGGCTTTAGTTTTCCTTATTTTTTCTAAAAAAGATATTTTTTAAAAAAATAAGATGCCTACTTTGTGCAATTCACCTCTGCTCTCAGTTGTGCCCTAATGTACATAATGGCCATTCTAGGAGCAATTCTTCCTCCTCTCCTTTTGTATAACATTCTGCAAGGGATCAGAGGAAGTTCCCTGCATTGCACTGAGTTATTACTATGGAAGGATGTATTTTCTATACTAGGTATCAACGGGTTGCCACTGATCAGCAACAGACACTTGTAACTGCAACCTGCTGTGAGCAGGTGCTGCAGGCGCCCAAATCTGGCCTATGGAGAAGCTGGGAAAGGGAATGTGCAAGTGGGGGGAGATTTGTAAAGGACGAGCGCGGCGTGATGCTGCCGCTCAATTCTGGCTAGGGGACGATGGACAGCAACCTCACGTAGCTCCAAGACAGCTCATACCTACTACATGCTATTGCCCTGCTCAGTTTTTACCAGGAATTCTCACTAATGCTGAAAGGGGAAGGTCTGAAGTCCTTTTTCTGTTTTATCGTATTAATGTAACATGGAAACATGCACACAAACAAATGACACAAACAAAAACAACTTGTCGCTGAAGTGGAATCCTGGATTTTTTTTACACTTCTTTCAGCAAAACACTGACTTTGAACCTGATTGTCCCATGATCAGAGATGTTTAGTATTTATGTAAACTGATAACTGCCACTGAGGAAACTAAGAACAAAGTCCTATAAAATCAACAAAGTTATGCAGGACCAAGGTCACAGGCAATTCAGAGCAAGCTAAAAAGAAAAGATTATTTATATTCCTGTTTCTTAGCTTGTTCTATATAGACCAGTTAGCTGAATTGCACTGGAAGCTGTATGATGCTTGCCTTGCTGTATCACTCAGTGGTCTGAAATATTAGGAATGATGGACATTTCACTCCACTGTATATAAAAGAAGTCATCAGTAAACTTGATGAGTATATCATCCTTTGGTCAGAACTTACTTTCCCATACATTTATTCACTTTATTGTTTATTTTCTGTTTACAAACTCATTTACATCTTGGTGACATTAGAGAGATTTATCCATTCATGTACCACATAAAGCAGCCAAAAACAAGCTAGGGGGAAAAAAAAGCACTTCTATTTTCTACCTTTTTGCTAATAAAATATTTAGCAAAATCCAAAGTTCTCTCTTTAAACACAGCTGGAACTTAATTTATGCTTAAGAGAGCACAAACGAATGTGGTATTTTTGAGGATACAAGTTACGTGTGTTACAAGTAGAGGTCAATTTCTATTTGCTTCTCTTCTTGCACTTGCTAAGTAGTGCCACACAAATGCTTTCTTTTTAGTGATCTTACTGATAATATTATATGCACATATTTAACAATGCAAACATATTAACAGTGCTTAAAAGCTGCAGCATTTGAGCCATCTTCCTAGGTCATTTCACGAGAGCGCCAAGGAAAGACTGTCTCAAAGGCTTTTGAGCCCCACGAGCTCCACCTTGCAAACAGCACAAACGCAGGTACAGCCCAGGGCCGGTCAGCCGCTTGGGCAAGCCTTACCTAATACACCGCTAGGCTCGATAGGATACTCAAGGATTGACGTAGCTGGTGCCAGCGTGTAGGGGTACTCGTAGGGCGTGTAAATGAGGCCGGCCTCGGGTCCCGGCGGGACTATTGCAGCGGTCGGGTGGGGGGTTCCGTTTGGCATGACAGCGGTCTGTATTTGTCTGATCAAAGGCATTATGGTAGGGCCGGCCGGCGTCGGGGTGCGCAGCGCCGCCGGCGGGAGGACGGGCGCAGGCCCCGTGATAATCCTGGGCGCCTGGGCCGTCGCTGCAAGAGAAAAGGCAAGGGCTGCTACAGTAAGCAAAGAAATTCAGGAGGAAGTGTAGAAGAGAGCGGTACAAAACGTGGAGAGAATGGGAAGAAAAGCGGGAAAGTAGGAGAGGAGAAAAATAAAAGGAAATCATTAGTACATGCGCTGATCACACAGTGCCAAAGCACACCATTCAAATGCAAACAGCTTTCCATTTTCCAGTGTGATTAAGTATGAACATGCAAAATAAAAAAGCCATTGTAAAACAGTGAGGTAGATTTCTCAAACAGGTTACGTAGCACAAAAGCTCCATTTAGAGCACGTTTCTTCACTTAGGCTCTCAAGACTGCATGAGACTGAGATGCATGCAGGAGATACAAGGAAAATACTGTCATCATCAAATACAGAGCACAAAACGCAGTGCAACGACAGAGTCCACAGATACTCAGGTATGCAGAGCTGCCCTGGTACGTTCTACGGTTTCTGTGTACCTTAAAACTGTATTTAAACATAAAGACAAATCCAATTTCCAGGATCAGTTCAAGATAGCCTGGAAACAGATCGACTCACTACAGGAYGAATAAAAGAGACTTGAAACGACCTCCATACAATTTCCCCCAAAGAAAACAATTCTCAAATATTAGAAATTCACTGTGGCCTCGCTTATGTGAAACAAAGTGCTTTGATTTTCTTTTGTTCTTTCTTCCTGTCTTTTTTTTTTTTTTTTGCACTGTGTGTAGCACATTTAATCAAGTGCTAGTTGAGGCTTGTTGGTACATAATATTTAATACGCAATGTATAAAAAACTT